AGTAGCCTAGGGTTTTTCCGCGCGTAATTTTGTGGCTAATCTTGCGCCGAGTACTTTGCTGTTTATGGTAGAATGACCGCGGGTCTGGTGGAAGTCGCAGAAGGCATTCTCGTCGTAACTCAAATTCCTGGTCCACGTGTTCCCCGTAGTACGCCCTTGTTCTTATCCAAGGTTGATGAAGTAGTTGTGCGCTCCTTGGAGATCATGTCCCTCGTGATGGATGTACTTGTCATTACGAGGGTTCTTCTTTTTTGGCTTTTGCTCAGTCGTGGCATCTTTTGCGGACGCCTTCGTCGGCTTATGCTGTGCCGCCAGGATTTTAGTCTCTTCTAATTGGTAACGTTGTGGAACGCGTCCTAGATCTTACGCGTCTTCTCGAGAGTTATCCATTTTCTGAATTTTGACTTGAACTAAAGCAATTTTCGCAGCGCGTCGATTGCTGCTCTGTCGCTTATTCCGCTAACCCTAGCCATGATGAGTTTGAACTTACTCATGAAGTCACGGAGAGGTTCTTCTTCCTTCTGGGATAGACTCCAGAGGTCAGCGTCGGAAGTTTCTCGGTTAATGAACATCGAGTACTGCTTCAGAAACTCCGAGGCAAGATGGCGGAAACTCCTGATCGAATTCCGTTTAAGTCGAGAGAACCATTCGAGCGCTGCCCCTTCTAGGTTTTTGACGAAGAGACGGCAGTAACCTGCGTTCTTTTCCCTTGCCTTGAGCTTGGCTCGACCAATAGTGATCTAGAAGGCCTGCAGGTGAGCTTTGGGATCGGTCGTCCCATCGTAAGTTGGCACTTTGAGCTTTTCGGGATCGGGCGGCTTAATCTCGGTGATACGAGCAGTAAAAGGCGTTTTACAAGATTTGTACAATAGTCGATCGAATTCCAGACTTCACTTCTTTTACCGCTGCGGCCGTTTTAGTTATATAATCACGGAGATCGCCGATCTCAGTTGGGCCGCCAGCGGTTTTCCGACCCCGTCGGCATTTGCTGAGAGTAATTTGAGATCGTTCCTCATCCGTTTTCGCATGCTCCATGCAATAGAGCTCCTCCTCGTCCTCGGTGTAAGAGTGTTCGGGAGAAGAATCGGGCTGAGGACTGCGATCTTTCCTCCTTCTCGGATGAACGTCAGCATCTTCCTCCGAAGGATAGGATTGGTCGCTTGTTTCCAGATTCACCTTTTCGACACCGTCGTCCTCGATCTCCTGTTCGTGAGAAGGAGATTTTCCCGAGTCCTTTTGTGTCGCGTCAGGGTTATCTTTTTCAGAGGCTTCCCCGGTTGATTACCCTGCTCGGTTCTGGGACGATCCATAGGCGTCACGAAATAAAGTCTTCTTCCGTGGATTTAGTGGTTCCGCGGGAGCGGATAGCTTTGGTTCTCGCGGTTAGGGTTTCGACCTGTTTCGCGAGAGATCTGATTAGCTTATCCAGCTCGTCCGTCCGTTTCTGATAGGCGGAGAGTACCTCCTGCAGCGACGTGGTGTTAGCCGTAGCGTTAACCGTGGTCGCGTCTGAAGTTAGAGTGTCAAAGTTTTCGTTTTCACGAGTTGGTTGTTCTTCTGTCATCGTAATTGATTGAGCGTGATGTGGTCTTAGAGTTAGATAGATCCATAACCCCCCCCCCTCCTTCTAGCGCCAAACTATGGGAACCGAAATTCATACCGTTGATTTCCGTGAATAAAGGAACTTAAGGAAAACCCTAATCTCCCAGAGGTCCCAGCTATCTACTTAACCACTCGCAAACAATCACAGTACGACAAAAGATAGTAATGTAAACGAGAATTGAAAAGAGAGCAAAGAGGTTTCTTTTTCCGATCTTGCGTAAGAACGGTACAACGAGGTTAGCCTTGGATACAAGAGCTGACGCACGTTTCCTAGATCTAGCAACCTAAGACTAAAACCCTAGTTGAGACGCTGCTCGATAACAAAAATGGAAAATTGCCTAAATGCTCTAACTTGTGTGAAGAAAGTTCGGAATATCCTTTTCGCTTCCTTTTGCTTATATACTCATTCTCTAGGCGGTTTGGTCTTTCCTTTTCCTCCTTGATCCACGCTTATCGGAAATCTTCCATTTATCTCGATCTTTCCATTTTTCTTCGGAAAACTTCTATTTATCTTCAATCTCTACATTTATCCACTTCTGCGGATAATAGGCAAACCGTCATTGTATCTTTGGGCTGGACCTTATTTAAAGTCACGAGTGGGCCTTTATTACGTTTTAGGACCTTTCGGGCCATTTTACGATTTAACCATTTTACGACTTTAGACGAGATCGTTTCCTGATACGACGGCGTTTTTAAGTAAACTTCTTGAATTAATCGTATAGTTTGGCAATGCTTGGTGTTTCGTTTAACCATTGCCGTTTTATATGATTTACTCGAGGTTTTACGAGAAAGCGCGTCTTTAGTGATCTTTTATAAAAATTCTCGAGTTAATCGTATAGTTTGGCAATGTTCAGTGTTTCGTTTAACTGTTTCCGTTTTATAAGATTTACTCGAGGTTTTACGAGAAAATGCGTCTTTTGCGGTTTTTATAAAAAAATCTCGACTTAATCGTATATTTTGGCAATGTTCGGTGTTTCATTTAACCGTTGCCGTTTTATACGATTTACTCGAGGTTTTACTAAAAATATGCCTTTTACAGTATTTATCGTAAAACTCAAACGGTAAGGCGGGTTGAGACGAAACGAAAGACATTCTGATCACGGTTCAGAGTACGATCGAGTCGAGGGGCATAGATGGTTGAACTCATCTCGCCTGTTGGCGAGCTGGACAGATGTATTCAGCTCGCCAATGGGTGAGCTGGTTACAAGTGTGGTCAACTCCCCCGCTGGCGAGCTGGACAGATGTGTTCAGCTCGCCAATGGGCGAGCTGGTCATAGGTGTGGTCAGCTTGCCTATTGGCGAGCTGGACAGATGTGTTCAGCTCGCCAATGGGAGAGCTGGTCACATGTGTGGTCAGCTCGCCCGTTGGCGAGGTGGACAGATGCTGTCAGCTCGCCAATGGGCGAGCTGGTCACATGTGGGGTCAGCTAGCCCATTGGCAAGCTGGACAGATGTGTTCAGCTCCCTAATGGGCGAGCTGGTCACATGTGTGGTCAGCTCGCCCGTTGGCGAGCTGGACAGGTGCGTTCAGCTCGCCAATAGGCGAGCTAGTCACATGTGTGGTCAGCTAGCCCATTGGCAAGCTGGACAGATGTGTTCAGCTCGCCAATGGGCGAGCTGGTCACATGTGTGGTCAGCTCGCCCATTGGCGAGCTGGACGGTTGTTCGGTTTCGATATTTTCATGTTTTCTCGACCCGAGATCCTTGCGGAGAATTAAGGAGAAGTGACCATAGACGTTGATTTCGATCTTAAAAATAATTTTAATATCTCAGAGAGTTTGGACGTTACGGCCGTTTTTTGCCAATACAATAATCACGGATTGTTTTATTAGATTCCCCGATGATTTCAAAGATGACAGTTGTCAAGTTTACACAATTGCTTAGTTCGGAGAATCCTTAGATTTCTTCTCGACACTTTTTCGTATTTATAAAACTTAATCTTAGACTTGCGAAAAGTTTTGGTTGTTGGTTCCGCCTTAACCGATTTTGACCCTAATAAACAAGGATATCTTTTTTGATTATTTCATACTTTGATACGAGTTTTCCGTAACTTCGTATCTCCGTAGAAAGTCTATAGTTTCTTGTACGTTTTTTCTAGGACTTTTAGCCATTGATTCCGTCGTGATCGATTTTGATCCCAACAATAATTAGTTGGAGTATTAAACTGGGTAGCAAAAAAGTGCAAAATTTAATTGGGATATATTTACAGAATTTTCCCAATTATAAAATAGTACAACACCAATATATCAGTTAGCTCCTCTAAATATTCCACTATTGCGTGCTAGAAGTTGTAATTAATATCTCCTCTTTGTTGAGGCTTTCCGGTTTTGATATAATTTTCGAAAAGTGTTTTCTTCTTAGTTTTACACACAGCCGTGACTAATTCTTTTTTTTTTTTAGAGCTGACTAATTCTTTTGACACAATTGTGACTAAATCTTCTTAATCAATTATGAATTAGTTACGGTTGCGTGTATAACATAATATGGAAATTATAAAAAATGTAAATACAATAATAATTTATCAACATAAATAAGTTTTTGTTAGTAAATAAAAACTTTGTATGTACTACAAATTTGCAATAAAATAGCAATATGAAAAAGAAACCTTAATAATTTTTTGTAAACACCACATTTTGATCGATATATATATACATATTACGTAAACATAGCATAATATTACAGAATAAAAAGATAATTATTAGTGACAAAGTCTACAACATCGGTATTTGAAAAAGATCATTAGTAAGGTATAATATATCTAGGTCATTCCTTTATCATTAATTGATTTTAGGTTGGACGCTCATATAAAAATATGGTATCAGAGACCGATTCAAATAGTTCAACCCAATCCACATCAATCTGATTCAAAATTGACCATCAATCTTTGTCGGAATATTACAAAATTGACGCTCAAAAAATTATCATCTCAAAAGGAAGAATTAGAGACAAAGCCTGCCACATCCGTAGTTGGAAGGGATTCTTAATAATATATAATATAGATGTCCCAATCTAATTATTTTTTAGGCTGAAAATTCATCTAACCTAACAATAATATTTACAATTTACTTTTGACATTAATGAATATTGAATTAGACATCCCTTGGTTCAATCCACATGTATTACTATATGTCAAATGGTTTTCAGAGTTGCATAATCAATTTTAAGCACTATATACAGGTTTATAAAAATGAAAAAAGTAAATCATAATAAGGAAATCAAAGAAAGTGAAAACAATCAAAGTTAGCATTTAGTTAACAAGCAAAAAAAAACTCAAAACAAATATTCATTGATTAAAAAATTAATAAATAAAAAATCTCTAATAAATTATTATACTTTTGCTTTAGACAAGGAAAGAAGGTTCATGATGAACAGCAGAAACGTCTGCATAAAATAAATGATCAAAGACGGTTAAGTACTCTCTTATCTCTCTGCGGTCGCTTAGCTTCAAGTGCCGCACCTTCATTTATCATATCCCTAGCATCACTCTCCATACCAAGCTCCGAAAGTGCTAAAGCCTGCAAGTATAACGCAGTAGGCCACCCCGGTATGGACACTTGAGCCTTCATTGCGTCTCTCAACGCCAGAGCATGTTGACCCGTCACTAAGTAGGAGAAAGACCTTCTCGCAAAAACAGTCGCATATGAAACGTCCATCATCTCCACCAACTGGAAACAAGAAAAAACAGAGTTACAAGGCGTTTTAAATATAATACACTAATCTAATGATTGTACTATGCTATGTGATTAATAGAGTTTTCAAGTATTTAAATTAAACGCTATAAAATGCATCACTAGTATGATTGACAGTCAATATTTTTTAAACATAGTTAAAATAAATATATCCATTTTATTTTAGTTATGTCGTAACTAAGACTTCACTAAATAAAAATTAAATATTATATTTTTAAACTAAAATAGAAAAAATAAATAAATAATTATTTATTATTTCACTTTTATTGTTAACCATGTAAAACAGAATTTTTTTTGTTAAAATAAAATTATTTTTAAAAAGAAATATTTTTGCGCATGCTTGCGCAGGAAATTACCTAGTTACAACTAAGTGCTATGTTTTGTTTCTAATTATTGTATTAAATTGTTGGAGTATGCTAATTATGGAAATAAAAGAATATGGATGAACTGGAAAAATCTAATCTAAAATAAATTAAAAAAAAATTAAAGTGCTTAATGACGATATGCAGATAGAATACCTTTGAATAAAATTTAATCGCTTTAGTGAAGTCCTTGTCTCTGAAAGCATCGTCTCCCAATTTCTTTGTTAGAACCAGTTCCTGCACTTCTGGTGTCACTAGAAGCTGTGGAAGCAAAGTGAGACAATATTAAAACGTCAAAAAAAAAATTGGAAGAACTAGCTAGGTTAATGATTTGTCTCTAAGTACATCACTCTCTGCTCTTTCGTCGCTGTAACCAGTTTTAAGCAAAATCTCGTATACAGCCGGGTGGTCCATCCGAGAACAAGCCTCTCTGAGAGGAGAAAACATGGTTGGTAGTATCACTGAATTCTTAGGCAGACCCATCAAGAAATGAGATGAAATCTAAACATAAACACAAAATTATTTGGTACAAGAAAATATTTTGAGTATTTAGTAAAAGAAAATGAAAATATTGAGTTTTCCTTTTTTTTTTTATACCTCTTCCTTGTTTTGTAGTGCTGCTGCTGCTGCTGCTGCAGAGACAAGAGATTCAGTATCAGGTCGATCTTCCGGGTTGTTTTGAAGACATTTTGAAGCAAGATTAACAAGTTTAGTTGCGTCTTCATTCTCAAATCTCCCTTCAAGTGATGAATCCATGAGTAGCATCGCATTTGTCTCCATTATGATATCAAAAGCCTGAAATAATGAAACATTCATCACTAATCTCATATTAGATGACAAATAGTGAAATGAAACAAGGAAATTTTTAGGGACATTACATGGTTCGGTGGAATGTGTTTGCCGCTCACAAGTTCTATAAGAACATTTCCATAACCGTAAATCACACTTTCCGGAATAACTGTACCTAAATAAATGTGAAAGAGAACCGTTAAATTCATCTAAATCATGAAAGTACTATAAGAATGAAAGTTCTATACCTGTTTCTGAAAACTCTGGTGGAGGGTAAGTCAAGTTAGTGTTATAGCTTGTTCCGTCTCTACTGCTCTTGATAAGACCAAAAGTTGATAGACGAGGATCACCTTCCTCATCAAAGAGGATTCTAGATGCACTTAAATCATGATAGATCTTTTGGTTTTCGACGTTGCAGTAATCAAGTGCTTGAGCGATATAATAAGCAACTCGAACACGCATTTTCCAAGGAAGGGTCTGTTGGTCCCCTACACACAAAAAAAAAAAAAAGAAAAAAAGAGAACATAAGGCCTCTAGCTAAAAAAGATCAAAAGAAGTAGACTAGAGGAGAATCTTACAGTGAAAAAGATGCTTTGAGAGATTATCATAGGGCATATACTCAGCCACCAACAATCTCTCGCCTCCTTCAACACAATAACCAATCAGATTGACCAATCTCTTTGACCTAAGCTTTCCAACAGCAGTCGCCTGATCCTGATTCCACAGGTCAAAACATTAGTCCACGCAAGATCCAGTATTATAATTCAGACAAGGTAAACAGACAGAGAAGAAAGTTCCAAAGAATCTTTGTTTTTCAAAATAAAAGAGAATCTACTAAAACTATATATGGTCGATAAAATATAGTCAGAATCATGGGATAAAATAGCCTTTGCAACCTAAAGTTTCAAAATAGATTAGCTAATGTATTATTTCCCCCTTCTACAACTATATAAACCGTTTCAATCTTCAGTCGTTAATGATACTGAAACATAATATAATAATCTCAAGTTCTGAACTAGCCCTTGTAAGATTCTTACCTCAAAGTGCTGAGCATCAGGCCAAGTCAGTTTAGAGAATCGCTTGATGGCGACGAGACCATTGCCTTCGAGCATTCCTCTGTAAACCATATTGAGAGCAATCGTCTCACCTTCAGGGACAATGAATTCAGCACTAAACCCATTTGTTGAATCGTATAGTTCACGTAATCCAAAGCGTCTGAAACATGGAACATGATTCTCCTGTTCCACTTGCCCCTCAGTTACTGAAACACAAAAACAGTCTCATCATCAACAAAGGCTTAAGGAGTGTAGTTCAGAAAGATATACACTTTCCATCTCACTTTACAGCATCACCCACAATCATTAAAACACACGCAAACAGGAGTTAAGACAGAACTCCGAAAAAGACAAACTAATCTACATTTTCTCCAAGAAGCAAACTAGAGTCAAACCTGATTCTGGTTTTTGCTGAACTAATGGATGATCAGGAGAAGTGATCACATTAGCATTTTTGGATTGTGAAAGAGTAAGTTGATAATCAAAAAAATGATTATGCCGAAGAAGTTTGTGTCTCTCCCTCTTAATGAGTTTGGATTATATATTATGTTTGGCATTGTGCTATGTATAAGGAGAGGAGGCAAAAGAGGAATAAAAGCTAATTTTTTTAAAAACAAATAAATAAATAAATAAATATATGGGAAACAATTGAGAAAGAAGTGGATTTTATGAGTTTCTATTTTAATATTTATAAATATCCAGCCAAAAATATTATTTACCATAATTGTTTTAAATGATTATATATTACCAGCCAACAGCTAAGACATTCTTTTTACAGAAAATCCTTAAAGGAAAATCTAAACGCCAATCAAAAGCTGCTAAGTGTCAAATAAAAAAAAACTTACATTTCAAGCAAAACAACAATACCTTAATTTGCATGTACCTAACATAAGCTTCTTTATCTAATCAGAGAGCTAGGTTGCTTCTCTAATTAATTCTTTTTATTGTGTGCTAGAACTTAGAAGTAGTGTCTCCTCTATGCTGAGGCATTTTGGTTATTTACCTCTGGATATGTAAAACTAACATTCAGTTCTGATATAATCTTTCAGAGAAAAATAGAAATTTCATTTGCTTACTTCATACAACTGTAACTAAATTTTTGATATAGCTATGACTAAATATTTTATTTAGATATGAATTTTGATAAAATAATATGTGATTATCTAACAATATGTAAATGTTAGTACTATGGAATTTGTGAATATACATAATTTCATTAGTAAATAATAACATCGTATGAAGATCGGCCAGTCATATATTAGGGGTGTTGTGCATCTTTTATCTGTATAAAAACAATATAATCTATATATAAGAGTTTTTTCTCTCCACAGGTTCCACATCAGCAACAAAACTCTGTTGAAGCGAAACATCATCATGCATAATTTAGGCTTCTAACGAGATTCATGTGGATATTTGTGGGTGAACTATTTCGCATGCCTCACACACCAAAGTTTGTTTTTTAGACTTGGGTTAGAAAAAAGATACACTAGTTGTAAGGCCACGATGGTTTAATGGATAAAACTCAGTTGCGACATCTTCATCTCTTCCTTAACGGTGTCGCCGTTGCATTGTCGATCGAATTTCAGTCTCTTCCCTCTGATGATGTGGCGGTGTAACCGTTCTGTTATATTCATTAGTTTATTTTTTTGAATCATTATTTTCCCCAGAAAACCTCACACCAGATATGGTTGCCTCATCAATTTTGCTCGCTGACTTGAAAGCATGACGCTGTTCAAACACCATCAAAATCCGATTGCCCAAAATTTGGGAGTCTTGTAATGTGAAGAAAGAGGGCGAGCTCATCGGGTAGACATAATGTCCAGTCGTTAAGATTGTAGATCATCATAAAGATATCTATGTGCTTACACAATATTTGGTTACTAAAATATCCTTAACCTACAAACATATGTAAAAATAAAGAAAAGAATGATGAAATATCTAAATGTTGCTTAACATTATTAACTACTAATGGTATGTCCGCGTTACGCGCGGTTTGTGTGTCGTTTGTGTTATTTGACAAAGAACATTTGTCACTAATTTCACTTGTTTAATCGAAAATCTACAGTTGTAGTTGTTTTCTGTGTTGACGAACTTCATGTTTTATTAGTTAAATGCGATTGGTGAGGGAGCTGCTAGTTTTATAGAAGCGATATTATGAAATTATTCCAGTGTATGATGACAATGTGCATACCACAATATGTTTTTTTGTTTTTGTTTTGATAAATGGATATATACAAATAGCTGAGATAGAGTGATAATATCTTGTATTGGTTGATAACATGAACATAATGGCTCAAATTTAACATTATTTGAAAATAAGAAGTAATGAGTCGGATTTATTATTAAGTAAACAATTTATTTTTAGAGTAATAACATAGGTCTCCTTAGATTGCTTGAGAATTTTTTTAATGTTTGATAGTTGCTGATTTTCATCTGTTTAATGTTATTTGGTGGAAGAGATGAGGACTTATTATTAAGTAAATAATTTCGTTTTAGAGTAATAACATAGGTCTCCTTGGATTCTTGAGAATTTTTTTTTGATGTTTGATAGTTGCTGATTTGTATCTATTTAATGTTATTTGGTGGAAGAGATGACGTAGTTTTAGATTTTTAGTTGGTGTGGACTGCTTTTTTTTTTATAAACCTGGTAATAAACAATTTAACATTACATAAACGATGTGTGAGTGTTATTAAATTGACTATGGTATTTTATGGTTTACATTTGTAACTATGGTCTTTTATAACGTTGTATTAAATACTGATATTTTAAATTTTAAATATAATATATTATTTAATTTTCCCGAAAGAGTATTGTTACAAAAACTTAAACTTGAAATCAAGTAAAACTTGGTATAACATTGAAATTGGTAGATCTAACTATTTGGACAAACAAGTTTCTTGTATATTTCTTGTCAAATTATTTTATATTGTGTTTCTTTCATTTGACTATACAAATATATAATATTTTATTTTTATATAAATATTATTTTTTTCTTGATTTTTTATGGGATCAGTAAATCAAATTTATTTAGAGTATAATAAATATATATTTATTTATTTTTGTATTTTCATCTTATTAATCATATTCTTTTTTTTTTCTTAACTTTTTTCTTTCTGAAATCTTTGTTTTGACTATGTGTAATTTTTGGTTGTGGTTTTCAATCATTTTATTTTAATCTTTTTAACTTGATGAAAATAAAAAAGAAAATATATATCTTAAATATATTTTTCCTCCTTTTTGTGTGTTTATAAATGTTTTCTGTTTATTATTCGAATTTTTATATTACTGAACTATATTATGTATTTTCACTAAATTATTGTTTGTTGGCTCATTTTCCTATTTTAAAAAACTCTGTTGACTATTTTTCATTAACATTTTTGTTATTAAAAAAGAAAAATCAACTCAGTATATATCAGTGAACCTTATTTTTAACTTAGATATTAAATTATAATTATAGTGCTCTCAGTTAAATATAGTTATTGTTGTGTATATAAGATCAAATTACTGGTTTTGTCTATCCTGATGTCACTTCTAATGTGGATAATAATACATTAGTTTAGTATAATATTTCTGATTAGAATATGTAACTTTTAAAAGGAAAAATGTGTAAATGTAATTGTTCTAATAAAAATCATTTGTCATTGCAAAACCATTATCATAAAGCACATGAAATAATAAAAAAAATCTAGCCTAAAATCAATATTAAGCGCGACAATTTCTTTTCTATATGCTAACTTACCTAAAATGTGACCTATCCATCGATGTGCATGTCATAGTTTATCCATCGATGTGCATGCCTTGTAATATATCCACATATTTGAATTATGCAGTTAATTATATTTATATTCATTTTTTTGTTTGCAGATTCTAAAAGCGTTCGAGTCATATTTTTTTCATAATATTTTTTATAAGCCTTAAGATCTTCTCAAATTACATGCCACTTATTTTTAACTTAAGAACAAACACTTCAGCCTCAAACATGTAAAACTGTAAGTATCGTAATACTTATAATGTATCAACTTGTTGCATCAAAGACTGTAGGTAAAAGTGAATTTTATCCAATTCCATTTGTAATTTAATCATATACGTAATCCTTATTTCCTTTTGCATAAAAAATGGATATTAGAGTTGGAACCAAAGCCATATTCTTCTTAGCTGCGAGCACTTTCATTAAGAAAATAGGTGAAAGTAACACACCTAAAGAAGAAAAAGATATCCTAAGTTACAATATTACTCTTTGTTTTGATCCAATAGATATACAAAAAAAAAAATCCAATTTTTATTAATCTGATTTATATGTCGGCGCTTGACTTCCATTTGATTACTTGTAATGTATGCGTCACTTCTATGTAAATAGAAGTTCCTCTTTTGAAATAATTTAAGATATTAAAACTTTTTTTGTTCTCTTAAAAGTCTCATCAACCGCAGACCATAACACATCTGAAATTAAAAAATTTAAACAACTTTTTTTAGTTTATTTATAGCTGAAACTGTTCTATTTAAACATACATAAATAACTGTCGGAAAAACATATATACACAGTGATCTGCAACTAGTTGGTTAATCATTGACTGGAAAAGGAATATCTGATTCACTTCTCGGGTCCGTATAAGAAACATTCCACAAGAGAACTACGATTGTTCATTTCCATTGAGTCTATCTAACCGAGTGTGGTAGTCTTGTTCAAGTCATGCCACACCAACTCCAGCAAAAGATAGTAAATTTTACAATTCCCATTTTTAAACCACTTGTAACATACAAAGATTAAGAGTAACTCATACACACCTCTCCTATTCTCCTATTATCACGTTGTCGCCTTCGTAGCCACATTCTTAAGCGATTTGTTCACACCACAAGCATCAAGCACGAACCTTATCTATGAATCCATGAACCTGACAAACAAAATTTGCGTTGACATTTGTTAGTGACACTTGATTAGTTATATTGTATACATATTGGTTGTAGCTTAACTCATGCCAGTCAATTAGACATGTGGACAAACCGTTGAGTCTTGGCTCCAAATACGTGCCAGAGTCACGTACCGTTATTGTGGAATATCTCAAACTCAGTA